CAACTACACGCACTGATTATAATTATGTCAGTTAATCCATTTATAAACTAATCAATTAAAAATGCAAACAAAAAATGCAAACAAAAAGGATATTGACCAATGACATAATGTGTAAACAAAAAAGAGAACAGACATTTCTGCAAAAACTAGATTGAATACTTTGGAAAGACACAATAAAAGCATATGATTTAAAAAATTCTGTCAAAAAAGAAAAGGCTAACTAAATTAGGAATTAGTGAGAGAACTCACTCATGAAATATTGGGAGGAAAAACATATCAACAAAGAAAGGTTTTGCAATCTGATTGCTTCGTAAGTGTCTAGAATGTCTTGCTCCATGTCAGGGAAACTGGAACAAGCATTCTGGGACAATACAATGTGGGCGGTTTGTGCAGAAACAGCAATGAGCTCTTTCTTCAGTAGACCCATAAGCAAAGATAGGACTTAGGTCTACATCAAAACACTAGCAAATTACCACACATTTAGATATTTTGAGTAGAAAGAAGTCACTTAGGGACACCTGAGTGGCTCAGTGCTTGAGCGTCTGTCTTTGACTCAGGGTGATCCCAGAGTCCCCGGATCGGGTCCTACATCAGGCTCCCTGCATGGAGCCTGCTCCTCCCTCTGCCTGTCTCTGCCTCTCTGTGTGTCTCTCATGAACGGATGAATAAAAATCTTTTTTTAAAAAAAGTCACTTAAAGAAAGAATATGCTTCTTTTACAATTCCCTGAGTTAACCAACTTTTTCAATGATCTGACCGATTTTCAATTCCATTTACATTGGAAAAGAATGCACCTACCTGGTAGAAGAGAAGGCTGGCCACAACACCAATCCCTCCCAATCTAAAAATAAATTTTTTACATGATATCAACTGATTCCGGCAGTCTGGCCTTTCCAAGGCTTAGTGACTATAAACTCTATCTCCAAGATGTCAGGCAAAGGTATAGGCTTTCAGCCTCACTTCAATCCAACATTTATCTTAATCATGTATTTTGAAGATTACCAGCCCAGTATATTTTTCTCCCTCAACTGACCCTAAGAAGGCTCCATCTTCTGGAAGCCAGTAACATGCATACAGTTGTCAAAAGGATACTGTCCCAACACTACATTTCCAAAAGTAGGATCTTTAAATATTAATAACTTAAAAACCAAAGGAGGGAAACCCCAGCAACTTTAGACAGGCTATAAATAATTAGGCATTCAGTCGGAGCTGAGTGGTTAAATATCTGGGATTTGTCTTAACCGAATGTGCTTTCCTAGAACCATACAGCAAAATGGCACATGTCACTTTCAATTCAGACTACAGAAACCACATTTGAACTTCCTCACTCTTACAGTAAAGGTGCTAGTCCAGCACCCAAAATCTGCCTTAGCAAAATCTTCTTTTTTTAAGATTCTATTTATTTGACAGAATGAGAGAGAGAGAGAGAGCTCAAGCAATAGAGCAGCAGGCAGAGGGAGAGGGAGAAGCAGGCTCCCTGCTTGACATGGGGCTTGACCCCACGACCCCCAGATCATGACCTGAGCCAAAGGCAGATACTTCACAGACTGAGCCACCCAGGCACCCCTGCCTTAGCAAAATCTTTATGGAGCAGCCGGATATGGCTGAGACAACCGCATGATACCAATCTATAAACATTATGAAAGAGTTTCCTTTCAAGCTAAGCTGCTTGCATATGTTTCCCTCCCTTCCCCTGGCCCTGACTACTTCCCCCCAGCACTCTCTAGACTTCAGTTGAAGCTTGAATAAATTGGACTGGATGCAGGGCAGATCCCTGCGGTCATGACCCAAACCTGAAGAACCCGAATGCTTCCCGGGAGGACCACCAATCAGAAATCTGCTCCGTCCAGCTGCAGAATGTAGAATGGACTGGACAGCTTTCACAAGTGTCATGAGCTAGTCAACCCCACCGCTCAGGACATGAAAAAGTCCCTTTTCAGATAGCCACCAATCCAGACAGCTGGAAGTTTGGATAAAAACATTATTGCCACTGATATAACCGGCAGACATCTTTTTAGAAGCTTGAATAAGGCAATTAAAAGTGATCAGAATGGATCTGTCTTTCTAAGTGGATTTACCTTTCCTCAGCTCAGCTAGGCTGCCAGAACCTTCCATCTCCAGCCCATATCGACTGTGTAGACAAATGGATAAAAGCAGAAGCGACCGGACTCCTCCAGTCAAACCAAACTGAGCTAAGTTCTAGTCTTCCCTGTGTTTCTAGATTTACATCAGAACTGTCAAGGCACTAAACTTCAGTAGTTTCTGTGATAGATGAATTCCTTACTATCCAGAATAACCATGTACTTACAGGTTCGATTTGGTGGCTGGCTGCTTAAAAACTCAGCAATAAAGCCACTTTATGCACAATAGCTAAAATGTCACAGCAATGCACTGGCCCAATGTTTTCTGTTACTCTAAACACTTTGACTCACCCTAGGTTTGCTCTGCTTTGAGCTTTTTCACTTAAAGATCCTTCTGTAGCTACTTCTTGCTCTGGGTTGAAAGCAGTCTCACAGACCCAACCAGCTTAAATGAGCAGCCCAATAATATTTAAGTTCACCTAGGTTCTGTAATTTCTGCAGGGTGGTACAGCTCATGCGATTCTAGGTAATCGGGACACTTGGGTGGCTCAGCGGTTGAGTGTCTGCCTTTGGCTCGGCATGATCTCGGGTCCGGGTATGAGTCCCACATCGGGCTCCCTGAGTGGAGCCTGCTTCTTTCTGCCTATGTCTCTGCCTCTCTCATGAATAAATAGATAAATCTTAAAAAAAAAAAAAAGACAGAGAGAGAGAGAGAGAGATTCTAGGGAATCATCTTTCAGGGAGTGGAGAGCAGAAGCAAAGAGCAGTGGACATCCACCAAGGCTGCCACACCCAGGCCACCTGGGATGTCTGTAGCTGTGACAAGTCAGGCAACCCTGGGGAGGACACACTAACAGCAGCCCATAACCATACCTATGGCTCCTGTACCACTGAGGCACCTGCCTGTAGCCCAAGGCTAGCTCGTCATGTCTTCCCAAACCATGACTCCTTTCCCTGCTGCTTCGCCCCAACCCCCAGCGAAAGAGACCTAAGTGAAGTATAATAGACCTTTGTCCTCTAGGCAGGAGGAAGCATGACTCCTTCTCTTTCCCCTGGCTTCAGGAAGGCAGAAAGAAATTTCTCCACTTCACGTTTTTGGGAGTTTGAGGCTGAAATTCCTTAGATGCTCCAGGTGGCCTAGGATCCCCTTCCTAGAACAACAGACATAGGTGTCCTTGCTCCTGAAAGCCTGCCCTGTGTCCTCACATCTGGACCATTGTGTTATTTATTCATTCAAAGCAACATATTAACATTCAAAAGCCCACAGTGTACGAGACCTTAAAACAAGACCGGGAGATCCAGAAGTGAATGAGACTGAGCACTCACCTTCAGGCAGCCTACAGCCTAGCAGAGAGGGGAAAACAATAAACCCACATGCCAATAAATAAGTTCATAAAGCAGTGCCTGCTATGAAGGAAGTGGAACAGGGTAACAGGGCAGAGAGAAACAGGGCAGAGAGAAATCGGAAGTGGTGGCAGGGGCTACAGCCATCAGGGTGTTCAGGGAAGTCTGCTCAAGGAGGGGACATTTGAGCTAAGATGTGATGATAAAAAGGAGCGAACTAGTCACACGTCTGTGCGGAGAACATTCTAGAAAGAAGACACAGCAAATGTCAATGCCCTGAGAAAAGAGTAAGCTTCATCCTGTCAGAAAGAGAGTGGTTAGAGCCGGAGTCATAGAGGCAGGCAGGGCCCCATGCATCCCCAGGACTTCCTGGGCTGCTGAGGAAGCCCCAGACAGTGATAAGCAGCAAGTGACCAGGTCTCTGCTTTAGGAAGTTCACTGGCTGCTGGAAGGAGAATGGACTCTGGGACCGAAAAGGTAAGAGGGTTGGCTGTGTAGACTCAGCTGGTAACCACAAAGACAATGAGCCATGCCAAGATTCAGGACATACTCTGGAGGGAGGGCTACTAGGGCTCTAGAACAGAGGTGGGAAGTCTGGCACCTGTGAATACTCACTAACTGTCCCTAAGCGTACACGCACACCCTCGTCCTGACACATGCTGTGCAGGACAGCGGCCCGGACTCCAGGCTCTGGAGCCCAAACACCCACGTTCAAATCTCAACTCATCCACTTGGTAAGTTATTGAACCTCCCTGGACCTCATTCCTCATCTGTAAAATGGGGGCAATGATAAAGATGCCCTCATAGGGTTGTTGTGAGGATTCAGCTAGCTACTAAGGGTAGAGCACTTAGGGAAGGCTCCTGCCACCTAGTGAGTCTGCTTCCTGTTGCTGCCGGAGCAAATTACCACATGTTTATTGGCTTCATTAATACATCAATTTATTCTCCTGCAGTTCTGGAGGTCAGAAGGACAAAATCCATTTCACTAGACTAAAGTCGGGGTATCGGCCAGGGTGGTTCCTTCTAGAGGCTCCAGGAGACAGCCCATTGCTTGCCTTTCCTGGCCACATCACCCCAGCCTCTGTCCCTGTCATCGGCCGCCTTCACCTCTTGTGAACTTCTTGCCTGTCTCTTGCACATGGACCCTTATGATTAAATTTAGGGCCCACCTGGAAAATTCAGAATACTCTCCCCATATCAAAATCCTCAGCTTCATACATCCACAGAGCTCCTTTTGCAGTGTTCACAGATTCTGGGGATTGAGACACAGATAACTTTGGGGGCCATTATTCAGCCCACCACACATGATAAGCAATAAATAAAGGTCAATTATTGTTATTATCATTCTTACTCTCTTGGCGGCTCCAGAGCACATCCCCAACCCCCTTCCCAGCTGTATGGGAGAAAAAGGGATGGAGAGAGACCCCCATCTACCTCCTGAAGGCTGAAAGCCCCCTGAGACCAGGCCCCAAGCCCAGGTGGGGCTGGGGGTGATGCTAGCTGAACCAGGCCAAGGCTCCAGTCACCAGTTGACTCCCATGAAGTGACTGGGGGCAGAAAACAGACAAAAGCAGGAATATGCTCACAGGCCTCGTGTGGGTTAGAGAAGGGGGCCTGGAGCTCAGACTAAGGTCTCTTAATGGCGCTGTACTCCATAGGCTCTTGCTGGCTCCTGCTGGGAACGTGGGTATCGGGGCGACCCATGTTGCAGTAGGTTGCCTCCTGATTCAAAAGCTCCCAAGACAGAGCTGCGTAGGAAATGTCCTCCTTCGAAAGAGGGGCCTGTAATAAAGATGCACAAGGGGTCAGAGAGGCAGGCAAGAGGCTTTGGCCATGGACGGAGGAGGCCCTGGGTGAGGTGGGGGCACAGAGCTCTCAGGGCTTCTGAATGCTGCTCCTATACCCTCCAGTCCTTCTCCCTTCACCCTGCCAGCTCCCTGAGCTCCAGGCACAGCTGAAGACCCTCCCTCAACTCCATACCAGGGGATCACAGTTCACATGGAATTCCAGATCATTCAGCCTGTCCAGATCTCTGCTGCCAAGCATGAGGGCCATGTTTAATGGGACTCTGAGTCCCCAGGGCTCAGGCCTGCTATGGAGACACTTCCAAAAGCTGAAAGTCTGGGGGAGCTGGACAGGCAAGTCTTTCCATGGCTGTGGCTTGGCCCAGCACCTGCCCCTCCTCCTCCACATCCCCAGGAGCAGGAGAAAGCCCATCCTCAAAGCGGGGGCAATGGCAGATCTGGCTCCAAGCCCCATAGCTCCACCAAGTACACACCATGGTGACATATTCCACTTCCAGCTGATCTTCCAGGACAGAGAGGGAGGGCTTTGCACAGGCCTTCTTCTTGGAAGAGTTGCGGGAGGTTTGGGTTGGCTGCAGGGTCAGGTTTGCATAGCAGAGGTCCCCCTCCTGGGGCTGGAGCACCTTAGAAAGAAAGCCCAGGTCCTCTTCCCTGGAGGGACACAGACTCTGTGCTTCCCTGGGTTTCCCTCTCTCAGCTTGCTCTGCAACCTCCACACCCGCTCCCTTCCAGCCCTCCCCACTTCAGGCTGTTTCCAGCATCCACTCCTCATCCTCCCAGGCCCTACAGGTGGGCTATGAGCACACAGACACTTGGGCACATAGTTTGTTTGATACATCTGGACCTCAGTGCTCTTCGGAGAAGGAAATGAGGATGAAGAGAAAGGAGCTGTCTGGGGTCACTGGTCCGACCTTGGGGACTCTCTTACCTGCTCTGGGGACATCTCAGCAGCTAAAAGACAAAAACAATCAGAATGAGAAAGCCTGTCCCTAGACTTGCAGGGCCCCCAGGTCTGGGGAAGAAAAATCTGGACGAAAAGAGGTGACTTAAGCTCCAGGTGACTTAGACCTGGTTCTAAATCTGACTCCTCAAATGACATGCTCTGTCACACTGGTCACTTCACCTCCCTGAGCTTCCACTTCTCCACCTGAGAAATAAGAAGACCTCGCCCATCTCCCCCACATCATAGAACAGCAATCAGGGCCCTGTCACCAATCAGTGCCCCCCAAGGATAATGTCCCTGCTGTGCAATTGCTGGCTCAGACTAACTTCTGCCAGAAGTCCTGCCTGGAATGCCCCCATTTCTCTACTGGATTGGTCATTCGGGAGTCAACTCAAAGTCACACTTGCCTTCCCAGCTTCCCAGGGTGCTGAATCCCTCCCTCCCCAGCTCCATGGCACTTGATTTATGTCTGTCTGGTCGTCTTTTTCCCATTGAATTTCGCTTCAGGTGGACTATGGTCTGCTGGGCGGCTGAGCCAGTCCCCTCCTTGCATAGCTGGTGCTTGGTCATGTCCAGCACACGAGTGCCCCATCCAGATTGCTCTCTGAGTGGGGTACGCCAGCTGGGTCAGCGCCTCATGGACCAGCTTTCAAGGGCTTCTGGTTCCTGTTTCTCCCTGCACACCCAACCTTCCACTTTAGAGACAACAAAGAAACAAGAAGTTCTTTTCTCCTGATTTTTAGTTTCAAAAGCCTAGCTACTGAGAACTGCAGAGCTAAGTTCTAAGAACTTAGCTTGCAGATAGACACTAGGGAGGAGATGTGATGAGCAAGAGTGGGCTGCCCCTCCTCTTTTACCATGCTGTGGCATGGGTGCACTTACCATGAGAATGTGGAAACAGAACCAGCCAACAGCCCCATACTCCCACCCAACCCAGCCTCAGGGCAAGTCAGCCATATTTGATCACCTTTCTTCTGCTGCTTCATGATTCTCAAAGTCAAGAGTGAGGCTGCCACCAGGAGAAGCAGCAACACAGCCAAGATGGTGGGAATCAGGATGCTGAGCGTCATGGCATTATCCCTGGAAACAATAAAAGAACACCATGCACCCTGGCCCACCTCTTGCTTCTGGGCCACACCCCAGGCACCTGGTAGCAGAGAGGGCCACATACCTTTTGACCTGCAAGCCTGTGGTTTCTAGCCTGGGAACCCCACTCCTGGGTACCCTCAGAGATGGTAAAAAAAAAAAATTAAAGGAGAGGAAGGTTCCACAGGTTTCTGCGGGTATAGACACCTGACAGAAATTGTATGGTGACAGGCTCTGGGAAGGTCTCTCTGCTTGTACATTTGCCCCTGCTGTACTGGATTAAAAAGTGTCCCCCATCCCCATAATTCATGCTCATTCAGAACCTGTGAAGGTGACCTATTTGGAAATAAGATATTTGCAAATGTAATCAAGTTAAGATGAGGCCCTACTGGATTGAGAGGGGTCCTAACCCAATGGCTGGTGTCCTTACAAAAGGGAAATTTAGCTACACACAGATACGTGCAGGATGAAGGCCATGTGACAACAGAGGCAGAAATAGGGGTCATAGTGCTACAAGGCAAGGAGTGCCAAGGAAGCCCGGCAGCCACCACATTCTCCCTTTGAGCCCCAAGAAGGAACCAACCGTGCTGACATCTTGATCTCAGACTTCTGGCCTCTAGACTATATGTAAATAAACAACTGTTGTTGAAGTGGCCTGAGATGTGGTGCTTTGTCAAGGCAACCTGAGCAGACTAATGCAAAGACTATCTCTTATTCATCACTAGTCACAGAATTTATAGAATAAACTCATCAATCAGTGAATTAATTAACTCCATCTGACCCATTAATTATCTCTCCACTATAAGTTCCTGGAGGACAAACAGCTTGATTTATTCTGTTCATCCTGGTATTCTCTTGAAACCCCCAAAACAGTGATAGGCTTGAGTGGGGGCTCAATAATTATTTGCTGAATGAATGAATGAATCCATCTCATGCTGATCAAAGACCTTAATTGGTACTTATATATGGCTTTGATTCATAAAATGAGGAAATTCCTTAACTATTACTTATTAAAAGCAGATTGGTAGAAAGAAACTTTTGAAACAGAGGACAAAGGGAAGAGGGTTAGAGAGGGGGTCCTGGATGAGGGCCCCAGTCTCAATGGGGGAGCTCCCATTAGGATTCTGCAGGAAGGCCCAGCAGAAGGAGATGACAGCAGTCAAGAGTACCAAGAAGGAGATGGAAAGGGGACTCCCAGGTTCAAAATGCCACTTCGGCTGCATTGGCTGGGCAGGAGCCTAAGAGAGGCTCAGTTTCTTCCTCTATAAAATAGGCATTTGTACCTGCTTACTCGTCCTCATGAAGCAAGGTCCAAGGATTAACAGCCAATGGACAGAGAAGCCCTGTGTGAGCTGTCAGGTGTTCTCAAGATGGGACAAACCATCAGTACTGTTCCTGTCATAACAATAATTAAGGGAAATAGGATGTCCCCAAGCTCTCCCTGTTCTTCTGGTATTTGAACCAAGAGCCATCCCTGAGGCCCTACAACACCCGTGCCCCTACACAACCTGTCCATGCCATCCACACTGATTGTCTGCTCACCAGTCTCCTACCCTGCACTCTGAGTTCCAGGGGGAAACTCCATGTCTATACCTCCTGAGCTCAACAAGGAGCTGGCAATGCAGATGCTAACTCAGTAGAAATGAGATAGAAGAGTGAATGTGCCAATACATGTACACACTGTACTGGGTTCCAGGAGGAATGATCTGGGTAGGCTCCAAAGGACACTGTGGGGCTTGATAGCAAGTGGGAAGAGCCCCTGGCATTCTTGCCTTCTCTGTGGAGGCTAAGGGTCTGGGGACAAGCTCTGGCTGGCACTTGGGAGTGCAAAGCATTCTACCACTGGAGGAGTTTGGGCTAAGTAGGCCACAGGAAACAGCATACCGGAGCTGGCTTACCTGTCACTGGAGTGGGAGCTGGTCACAGTCGGGGGGTCTTTGGTCTCCGCTGGCGCTGTGGACATGTTGGCTTTTGAGGTGGTGGTGGTGGTGGTGGTTGATACTGTAGTTGGTGCTAGGCATACAGACCAGATTATACACTATTCAGCCTGCTAACCTGCCCACAGCCCTGCATGTGGCTGAGCTTGCAGGGAGCCTGGAGGTAACCTGGAGCTGGGCCGTGGGAAGGGCCTATCACCTGGACTGCTTATATCTCCCTGGCCACTAGGAGACTCAGCCTCAGAGGCAAGAAGGACTGGGTACAGGTCCAGGGAGGATGTTGAGCAGGCCCTGAAAGGATTAGAGGGTGCCTAGTGTTACCTCAGGGCAAAGGCAGCTGGAGTTCAGCTGGACTTGAAACACTCACTGCTTATGACAAGGCCTCTGCCAATGCCTCTGCCAATCTTACGCATCCAGAAAGGACAGGCAGGCCCCATGGCTAGCACTCCCAAAATCTGTGACTTCTAAGGTCAGGGCTACCCCTGAACAAACTCATAATGTTCTGTAAGAGCCTTTGCTTTGGGCAAGTTATTAATCTTCACAATAGCCAAACTGTGGAAGGAGCCTCAGTGCCCATCGAAAGATGAATGGATAAAGAAGATGTGGTCTATGTATACAATGGAATATTACTCAGCCATTAGAAATGACAAATACCCACCATTTGCTTTAACGTGGATGGAACTGGAGGGTATTATGCTTAGTGAAGTAAGTCAATCGGAGAAGGACAAACATTATATGTTCTCATTCATTTGGGGAATATAAATAATAGTGAAAGGGAATATAAGGGAAGGGAGAAGAAATGTGTGGGAAATATCAGAAAGGGAGACAGAGCATAAAGACTCCTAACTCTGGGAAACGAACTAGGGGTGGTGGAAGGGGAGGAGGGCGGGGGGTGGGGGTGAATGGGTGACGGGCACTGAGGGGGACACTTGACAGGATGAGCACTGGGTGTTATTCTGTATGTTGGTAAATTGAACACCAATAAAAAATAAATTTATTTTAAAAAAGTTATTAATCTTCTACAGCAAGGAGAATCACTTCTCAGCACCATTTTCTGGATTCGATGAGACAGTGAATGTGCTGTGCTTTGCAATGGTAACATGCCTCACAGGTTCAGGTAGGATCAGGGCTCTGTGGACTCCATGCTGTCCCCTTACCACAAGTGCCCTGTGAGCTGGTGCTGCTTGTCCAAAGTTCAGAGAAGCAGAGCCCAACAGACCCAACTCATTCAAACCAAGGCACCAAGATTTTTGAGCTGCCCCTCCCAGGAGCATGTGCATTCTAGAAGTATTTAGGAAGAGCACATCATCAAGCCCAAATGCGTATATGGCTTGTGATGAGATTTCAGGCACCAGAAATGCAGCCCTTTGACTGAGAAGGCCTTCCTGGACTTCAGGAATCAACCACAGCTCCCCCACTGTGCTGGGCCTCTTCCCTCTCAGACTGTGTATGGAACAGGGGCTAGGAAAAGCCACTATGAAGTCCCGGCCCAAACTCCAGAAAGAGCAGGGACACGTTGGCACCAGAGATCCAGGAAGTCATTGGCAGGAGTTGGAGTCTCTGAGACCCACACAAGAAAGTCCCTTTGGCCCATGGGCTGAAACTGGGACCTCCACCTTGATCTCTGTGGGCAACAGACTCAGGCACTACACTGTGCAGAGACCACCTGCCCAGAAAGGCTTGATCCTGTCCTGAAGGACATGACAGCAGCCATGAGAGCATCTAAGAGAAGCCCTGGCCTTCCCAACAAGGGGTCAGTTAGGTTTCTAAGAGAACTCAGGACTCAACCACCCTGTGTGACAGTCCCCTCCGAATGACACTTAAGTCACTGGAGAGGAACCTCAGGGACCAGGACAGAGGAGGCTCTGAAGACACTCTCTCTCTCTCTCTCTCTCTCTCTCTCTCTCTCTCTCTCTCTGTGTGTGTGTGTGTGTGTGTGTGTGTGTGTGTGTGTCTTACCTGGGTCAATGGTCACTTTAAGTTCAACCCCGAGGTCAGTTCCAGATCTCTCAATCCCACACCAGTAGGTGTCTGTATCAGTTTGCGTGAGCTCCTCCATGGTCACAGAAAAGGTGAAGTTTTTCTGATTGTCTCTAATTGACACCTTGTTTTTCTTTACCTTCTGCTCTGATCCTGTCGTTTGAACAAGGATATTGCACTTTCGCCAAATAGGTCCTCGACACCACCACTTACTGTAGGTCTTCCAAGTTGATACATAGCGACACTCCACAGTCAATGAGCCCCCAGCCAAGCCTCTGACAGCCTTTGGACCTGTGATTTCATATGAACCTGGAAGACACAAACCCAGGTGCCTGTTACCACCCCACCCCCTAAGGGCAGAGCCACAGCCTCATGCATCAGAAATAGCTCCAATAAACCCAAGTGCTTGATACGTTGAGTAACAGTCTAAGTGGGAATATACCTTCCACAAGACAGAACTTTGTCCTTCAAAACTCCACTGGGTGAAAGCCATCACAAAAATCCCCTAAGAGCACAACTATACATCTCAAAGAAACAAAAATGTCCACATTGAGGAATGACAGTTTCCTATAATATACTCCTCCAGCCACCCATGGCCAATGTCACCTGGAGAACAAATGACCCAGGCAAAGGCATGGCCCCAGTCCACTTCAGCCCATTGTCCTCATGCAAGGTGTGGGCTCTGTGGTATAAGATCTTTTCATTTTTCTAGAATAGCCATGAATCTGGATTTTGTCTATAGATTTCTCTATTCTGAAATCTATGTTTCATGCAGACATAGTCATACAATGTATGGCCTTTTGTATCTGGCTTCATTCACTTAGTGTAATGTTTTTAAGATTCATCCACATTGTAGCATGTGTGGGCACTGCAGTCCATGGTAGGGACAGGCCACATTTTGTTTATCCATTCATCAGTGGATGATATATGGGTTGTTTTCACTTTTTGGCTATTGTGAATAATGCTGCTGTGAACATTTATGTACTACTGGTATTTGCATGGAGATGTTTGTCAATTCTCTGGAGTACAGCATACCATAAGACACTAAAAAGATAAGTGGGGAGGGGAAGGGCTTCCAAAAGCATTGCTGGATCCTGTCACCTCTCCACCAGCTCCACTCAGGTAAATGCAGGGAGATGAAGAAAACAACATAAAATAACAGATCACTTCTTAAGCTACAAGAAAGTAGAAGAGTCTTTATAAAATCTCTGAATGATGGGATCCCTGGGTGGCGCAGCGGTTTGGCGCCTGCCTTTGGCCCAGGGCGCGATCCTGGAGACCCGGGATCGAATCCCACGTCGGGCTTCCGGTGCATGGAGCCTGCTTCTCCCTCTGCCTGTGTCTCTGCCTCTCTCTCTCTCTCTCTGTGACTGTCATAAATAAATAAAAATTAAAAAAAATATTAAAAAAAAAATCTCTGAATGAAAGGGAGCACTTTCGAGGTTTAAAAATTCATGGAAGACATCACACAAGAGTCAGTAAATTCGACCATATGTAATAAAAAATGTAACACTCAGACATACTGCAAAAAAAAAAGACTGAATGGAGGCAAAGAACAGACTGCAAGAAATATTTAGAACAAATAATGTAGAAAAGGATTAATAGTCATTTTTATGAAAGAGTGTAAAGATAAACACTAAGACTCCATTTAGAAAATTGGGAAGAGGCAAGAAAAGGCAAGTCACAATGAGGAAATTCAGGTAGATAATAAAATTGGAAGTGTTCCATTTAAATAATCTAGTAAACGAAAATATTTTAAAGTGGTGTCATTTTCACATATGAAGCCAACCAAGTTTTGTGACTACTATATTGCTGACATGGGTGACATGGCACAGACACTCATAGGAGCTACTAGTAGAGACATAACAGTTCCAACCACTACCAAAAGCAATGTAGCAATTATATTTCAAAATAATAATTCCCCTTGCTCCAGTGATTATATGTCTTGGATTTGGTCCTCAGGAAATGATCAGAGAAGCTAACAAAAACATATGCACCAAGGCTCATTACATAATTATTTAAAGAGGAAAATAAAGGAAACAAAGTCAACAGCCATCAATTAGGGAAATAAACAGACAATGAGATATAATGCAGACACTGATAATTATGCTTAGAAATACTCTTAATTATGCAGAAAATCCTCATATGAAGTGAAAAAAATTTAAATATCATATACCACATAATCTCAACTAACTTTTAAAATAGGCATAGAGGGGTTCCTGGATGGCTCAGTGGTTGAGTGTCTGCCTTCGGCTCAGGGCATGATCCTGGGGTTCCAGGATCGAGTCCCACATCGGGCTCCCCTCAAGGCGCCTGCTTCTCCCTCTCCCTGCATCTCTGCCTCTCTCTCTGTTTCTTTCATTAATAAATAAATAAAATATTTTTAAAAAATTAAATAAAATAGGCATAGAAAAAAAGATTAAAAGGAAATAAGTAAAAATATTAAATTAACATTAGGTTCTCTTGGGCATTAAAATCAGGGACATAAAAAAATAAAAAATAAAAAAATAAAAAAAATCAGGGACATAAGCATATTTTATTATTCCTAATTCTTCATTTATTTTCTGTACCCCCCTAAGTATCAACAATGAGCATTTATTACTTTCAAAATGATAGGGAAAAAAATACAAACTGGACAGACTGTTCCATAGCATAGAGGGTCACAGTCAGAGAAGGAGAAGGGACATTGAGGATGAGGTGAGGCCACACACAAAGAATGCAGCAGCCTCTGGACCATGGAAAAGTCAAAGAATCTGTTTGTCCCCCAAAGCCACCAGAAGAAATGCAGCCCTGGTGATCCTTTTGGACTCCGACTTCCAGACTGCAACATTATAAATTTGTGTTGTTTTAAAGCACTAAGTGTGCAATAACTTGTCCCAGCAGCCTTAGGAAACTCATAAGGTAGCATTAACCCATCTCACCTGAGCACTGGCCCTGGGTCCGACTCTGGAACTATCTGCTCCACTGGTTTCTTAGAACCATCTGTCCAGAGGCCCCCTCCCACCAACCTTGGCAGAGTACCGGTCCTGTTGTCTGCACCCTCCTGACACAGAAGGCAGCCCTGAGCCCCAAAGAGCAGCATCCTCTGCAGGCAGGCATGGTTACTCACAGACTAGTTGATGGAGAGTAATCCTAGATGAAAAAGAAGCTGAGCCCCAGGGGGAGGTGACAGACTCTCCATCAGGAGTGACAGGACTGCACCCCAACTCCAGCACAGCACAGGACATTTGCCAGCCTCTGCTCTGGGCCAGCACACTTGGGTCTTGTCCATGTCCGCCACCATTTATGGTGAGGTTGAAGTTGGACAAAGCAGCTAGATTTTCTCTGAAAATATAGGATGATTAAAAATCTCTGCCTTGGGCAGCACAGGTGGCTCAGCGGTTTAGCGCCACCTTCAGCCCAGGACATGATCCTGGGGACCCGGGATCAAGTCCCACATTGGGCTCCCTACATGGAGCCTGCTTCTCCCTCTGCTTGTGTCTCTGCCTCTCTCTCTCTCTCTGTGTGTCTCTCATGAATAAATAAATAAAATCTTTTTTTAAAAAATATCTTCCTTTCTTACAGAAAGTGAAGGCTATAAAGCCCAGTGGGAGCTCTGGTTGGTATTTGCTTCTTATATACCTTTAAAACAACAAACTCTTTAGGAGCAGGAAGCAGTGCAGGGTAAATGGGGTGCTTGTTATGGGAAGTTCAGTGGGAGAGGCTAGGGAGGGGGTATGAAGGTTCACAGCCCAGACCAGGTTCCTGATAGACACACAGCTGTGCCTCTGGCTTCCCACTGGTGTTCCCACTCTGCCTTGGTCATGCACACGCACACACCAGAGCTGCTCTCACATCTGCTCACCAAGTTCCCCTGTTTCCAGATGTCAAGGGAAAAAAAGAAGTAGTCCTTGATGTGCACTCACCACCCTACTGATTTGCCTCCTAATGGCTCACCCAGAGTCTGCCCTCTCCATTCCCATGACCCATTCCCAGCTTTGCCTTTCCCAGCCTTGTGGTCCTGGACATGTCACTTTCTTCCCCTGAGATTTATCCACCCAATCTGCCCCCACCAGGCTGTTCTGAAGCATGCCACAAAGCGCCATAGCCCGTCCATTCTTTGGGCCTGTCCAGGCCAGACTCGTGGCCCTATCACAGCCTTCCTGCTCACTGTTTCCTTCCTGTGCCCAAAAAGTTGCCCCCAATCCTAAGGCCTGCTCCTTCTCGTCCTACAGGCCTCTGCTCAGATGCCTCCTCTCAGAGGCTCCTTGCGGCCCACCCCATCTACAAGCACCAGCCCCTGCCCCCTGAGGCTCACTGTGTCCGGTCACCTAGCTCGGCTCTCCTCGCAGCATGCACCACTTATTGGAGGTATCATTTTCATTTCTCCGACCAAGGGGGTGGATGACCAAATTGAACCAAGCAAAAGACTCACAAATCATAAAGGGCTGCCGCCTTGCCGTGAACACCTTCTTCCAGAGCCTCAGAGTCTCACAATGCCAAATGCTACTGGGAGATTTTTCTCAGGAGAATTCTACTGCTCCTGAGGCTTCCCTCTGATCCTTGGTTATGTTCTTATTGACATATGATTCCCATACCATACAATTCCCTCTTTCAAAGTGTACAGCTCAATGATTCTTAGGGCTTTCACGAAGCTGCTCAACGTTCACTACACCTAATTCCAGAACATTTTTATCACCCCCAAAAGAAATGCCTCACTCAATTAGCAGTCACTCTCCCTTACTCCTTCCCCCAAGCCACTGGCAACCACTAATCTACCTTTTGTTTCTATGAATTTAGGTATTTCAGATATTTCATAGGCATAGGATCATAGGATATATGGCCTTTTGTGTCTAGATCCTTTCACTTAGCATAATGTTTCCAAGGTTGGTCTGCGTGGTAGCATGTGTCAATATTCATTTGTTTTTATGGCTGACTAATATTCCATTGTATGAGTATGCCACATTTTATTTATTTATCCACCAGTTGATGTATATTTAGGTTGTTTCCAGTTTTTAACGATTATGAATAATGTTGCCATGATCATTTGCATACAGGTTTTTACATAGACATATGTTTTCAATTCTCTTGTGTATACATCTGGGAGTGGAATTGCTGGATCATGTGGTGACCACATGTTTAACATTTTGAGGAATGTCAAATTGTTTTCTGAAGTAGCTGCACCATTTTACATTCTCTCTCTCTCTCTCTCTCTCTTCTTTTAATATTTATTTATTCATGAGAGACACAGAGAGAGAGAGGCAGAGACACAGGAAGAGGGAGAAGCAGGCTCCATGCAGGGAGCCCAATGCAGGACTTGATCCCAGATTCCAGGGTTGCGCCCTGAGCCAAAGGCAGGCGCCCAACCACTGAGCCACCCAGGCATCCCCACCATTTTACATTCTCATGAGCAATGGATGTCCTCTCCAAATACTGTCAAGAGTCTCAGTGTTCAGTTCTATGACAAAGAAAGATGGGGAGTATACCAATCATATTTTTTCCTCTCCATGAGATACATTCACTCATTCAGCTAATACTATTTGTTTAATCTATAGACAAATAGTATATTTTGCAGGTGCAAAAATCCCTGCCTACCTAAAGCTTACATTCTCTCAAGGGGGGGGGGGAGGGAGGAATCAGACAGTAGAGAAAAATAATACAAGAGAAATGCAATTTTAATGAGGTTTCTTACCTATAAAGGCCTCATTGAGAATCAAAGACGTGCAGAATGTGAAGGACTGCAACCTGTGGCTATATGAAAAATGGCATTCTGGGCAGAGAGAACAGCAAGTACAAAGGCCCTGAGGCAGGAATGTACTTAACATGGTCAAAGAACATCTAAGAGACCGTTTTCACTGCAGTGGGTTGAGCCGAGAGAGTAGAGTAGAAGAGGCAATCGGGAGGTGATGAGGTGAGAGAATCAGGTGATGCACCTTTTAGCTTCTGTAAGGACTCTGTGTTTTTACTCTAAGCATAATCAGAGGTCATTGGAGGGTTTTGACCAGAGGAAAGACAAGATCTGGCTTGCACTTCATTATGGAATATGAGAGAAGAGATGAATGACCCTAGGTTTTGCCTGAGCACCTAGAAAAGATGGAGCAGCCCAACACAAAGATGTGAAAGAAAGGAATTTGAAGTAGAAGATATGCTCAGGTCACATTTGAATTGTTAGCATCTTAGCGAAGAGTTGAATGGGCAGTTGACTCAAAGATTCTGGGGTCCAGGGTGATATCCAGGCTAGTGATACATCAGGCATCGTCTGGATAGAGGTGATATTTAAGCCAAGAGAGGAGAAAAGATCAAGAAGAGAATGGCTCTAGAAAGAGAAGCCCAAATCAAGTCCCGTGGCCCTCCAGCATTTCCAGGTCAAGAAAAAACCCTTAATTTTTAATCAAAATGGTATCCATCAACTTACAATTTCCTTTCACCACCCTGCACCCTCATCTCAGCCCCTCAGCAACTTCTATTATTCCTTCTACCCCAAAGACGTAGAACCACATCTCCCTCACTGTCTGGCAAACTCCTTGGTTTCCTTCCTCCAAAGCCACCTCTATCTTCCCTCCTTCCATTCCTCATACGGCATTCTCAAAGGGTGACAGTGCAGGAGCAAGGGTTCACCAGCTCTCCTGAGCAACCAGGGCTCCTCTAGACAAGGGGGTCCCATCAGTCTGTACATTTGGAATTATCAGCCCCTGATAATACTACCCAGTCTTATGCAGGATAAGGAATGGGGTGGATGACACACACAGACCCACTACTTAGAGAAACTGCTTAGAAACGGACCCTGCCAGAAAGGGAGACAAAACATGAGAGACTCCTAACTCTGGGAAACGAACAAGGGGTGATGGAGAGGGAAGTGGGCAGGGGGTGGGGGTGACTGGGTGACAGGCACTGAGGGGGTCACTTGATGGGATGAGCACTGGGTGTTATGCTGTATGTTGGCAAATTGAACTCCAATTTAAAAAAAAAAAGAAAGAAACGGAGAACCCTGCTTCTCAGCAGGACCCTTTGCTGGGCCCTTACTCCTCCCTCCACCAGCCACTTCATCCTGCCCCCAAAGCTCTTCTCTAGCACAGACCCAGGACTCACTCACCTGCAACTCGGAAGAAAGGGAGGAAGAGCAGTAGCAGGTACATTCTCTCTTCTCACAAGTCCCGCTTGGTGAAGCTAGTCAACTCCGACTCAGCTCCTGTATCATCCAACCCTTCTGCTTTCCCCACTTTTGCACTTCCTCCTTCAGCCACTTCTCACTGATGAGTAAGCAAAAAGAGGAAGGAGATAGAAAGGGTGAAATCTCAAGGCAACAAGCAATGCAACAAGTCTCAGTGATCGTAAATAAGCTTTTGAGAAATACCTTCCTGTCTTCAGCCACAAAGGATTCTCTAAAAAAGAGGACTTTGCCACTCCTTCCAGGCCTTGAGGAAATTTGCATAGACCCAATGGATGGGGCTGGCTCTTACCCAATCCTTCCTCTGTTGGGAAGACTAGGCAGAGAGAACCCAGTTATATCACAGAGGTCCTGGAGAGCCGAGGCTGAGGGACAATGACAAAAACATGGAATTTCAGGCATAGCTTTGGGAGCCTAGAACATCAGGAGTTCACCTGTTGGGGAACTTGGGCCAAAGCCCAGAAGCCAGAGGAGAGATTCTAGACCAGAAAGTGGAATGAGGAGGTAGACAGTATCAAATCCCAGATGGCAAAGAAAGGAGTTCAAAGAGTAGGGGTATGTGAGTAGGGACCTACTGGTCCAATGGGCAAGAGGGGCCTCTGTCCTCAGAACATACTAGAAACTCTCGTTGTGGTGCCCCAGACCACCAAGTAAGAACCTGTGGCTATTGATACCAGCCTCCAGAAACTTTTCAGTTATATAAGGGGCTCCTTCCTAAAGAAAACTGCTCATTGCTCATAGCTATTACCCCCTCTCTCCCCACTCCCCACCTTATAATAACTACCTATGGAAGTAGGAAGAAGGTCAGTGCCAGCTTTGTCTGTCTTACTCCTTCTTTCTGACAACTTTGTGTCCATCCCCTACCTGCCCCATCAGGATCCCAGTAAGCCCCAAGGTGGAGCACAGAAACTAGGGAAAGATAGGACCCTTTCTCAGATTTTGCCCCTGGAGCCACTTTTGCTAAGTGTCACACACACTTAAGTGTCACATGCCATCTTGAGAAGTGAGTGAGTCCCAAAGAGGGGCATAAGCTCCTCACATCCTAATCAGAAATGAGTAGGTGTGTAGGAGGCTTATTTGCACACACACACAAAAACACAACAGTTGATAAGCCAAGTGTTTCCAGGATGTGGCCAAAGACGGCCTTCCACTTTACATATCTCCAGACCATAAAGTAAGATCAACAATTTTGGGTAAGGCCTCGATCAGCCCTTGGTCCTCAGTGCTCCATAAGCTTATCCTCTGCACTGTATAGTTAGGCTGAGAGACATCAGCCTTTTTTTTTAATGGCATTTTTTAATAATAAATTTATTTTTTATTGGTGTTCAATTTGCCAACATACAGAATAACACCCAGTGCTCATCCCATCAAGTGCCCCCCTCAGTGCCCATCACCCATTCACCCACACCCCCCGCCCTCCTCTCCTTCTACCACCCCTAGTTCATTTCCCAGAGTTAGGAGTCTTCATGTTCTGTCTCCCTTTCTGATATTTCCTACCCATTTCTTCTCCCTTCCCTTCATTCATTTGGGGAATATAAATAATAGTGAAAGAGAAGAGAAGGGAGACATCAGCCTTTGCAACAGGAACACTATTTGGCTTCCAGCAGAAATGACTGAGGAACAAGTTGGGACATCCCTGCAAAACGAAGGGACAAATGTTTTGAGTTGTGGGTAAACATTGCTTTCTTGGTCATACAGGATAAAGAATTACCAGCATCTGAGCTGCTCAAAGCCCTGCCTGTGGCCTGGCCCTCTGTTCCTGGGCCAGCTTACCCAAGTGTTAGGAGTTAGGCGGTCAGTTAGGTAGTCAGGGCCAGGGTCCCCAACAAGAAAATAGGGAGCCAGGATACCTAAGACAAGATCACACCAGCATCCTGTTTTACAGCTTAGACAGGACCACAACAGCATCCTGTTTAGCAGCCTCTACAGGAGTGACCTTTATAAAACATTCTGAGGCAAAAAGATTCACCATAAAATATGGGTCACTATCACAAGTTGAGGCAGTTTAGTCTCCAGATGTCAGCCCAAAAGACCATCAACACATGAACAATAACCCAATAGGTAGGTGGGTGCATGATCAGAGCCCTGATGGGCACACCTCAGTGGCCAATCCACAGGAGGCCCACACTCAGGATGCTCAAGATAGTTCCTCGAAAGTGCATATAAAAAAACCCTAGATTTGAACACACCAAAACGGCAACCCTCTCGGGTCCCTTCCCTCTCTTAGGAGGGAGCCCAATGCAGGACTCAATCCCAAGACCCCAGGATCATGACCCGAGTTAAAGGCAGACATTCAACCACTGAGCCATCCAGGCGTCCCAAGGATTCCCTTTGAGTCAAGAACATCATTATCTGAGTGTCTCTGAATGGTGGTAAGGTTGCTCCTCTAAACAAGCACCTCTGGGGACTACAGGGAAGTCAGGCTGTTCTGGAGCTTTGCATCCTCAAAAACCTACTGGAGGCCCTAGTCCTGGCTTGGTCATTAACTCCTGCATAAGTCAGCTCCCTCCCTAGGCTCCCATGTCCCCATCTGTGGAAGAAAGGATTGGGCGGCTCTTCTGAGGTTCCCTCCCCTAAAGCACCTGTGGATGTGTACGTGCACACACACACGCACAAGCATGAATATGAGTGCTTGTGGATGTGTGTGCATGTGTGGATGAACACGTGTGTGGTGTTTTCTTGTTTGTGCATAGGCATGTGTGGGAGCTGTGTACACATATGTACATTGCATGGCTAGCACTGTGTGTCCTCACATGTATGTTGTGTGTGTGTACACATGCTACGTATGCCATGGCAATTTGTGTGCACACATGTAGCGTATGTGCACGTATATTACATGTGTGTGTCGATGCATTGATTGGGTCTGGCTTGTAAAGCCTACCATCCTGTCTCCTACTTGAGAGGCTGAGACAGAAGCCAGCTGCCCTCTGGTCCTGTTCAGTGCTCACAATGAAGGTTGAACCTGATAGCCAAGAGTTAGTAAGACAGCACATCCTTGAGCTGGCTGGCAGCAGAGTATCTACTCCACGGCTATTTCTAAAACAGGCTCCTCCAAAACGCAAGAAGGTATTATCATAAACTGGAAGTCGATTTAACAAAGCAAGTCACTGATAGCACTAACCTTAACATTTTCCAGATCTAATGCCATTTTTCTGCAGTCTATGGAACGGGAAACTGAGTCTCAACCAAGTTCTTATCCAGGCACTCAGGCAGAGGCAAAGCTTATTTTTTAGAAAAACAAAGGTCTCCAAAGAGTGGGTTAACCCTCCGGAAAGATGAGGTGAAAGAGCTCTGCAATATTCAGGCCAGAGTGTGGGCTGCTTTGTCATTGCCCCCTCAGAAATCTAAGGTAACACTCACTGAAATCCACAAAGTGAAACTGCTGCCATTCAGGCTCCCTCTGCCCAGAGAATCTGACTTTTTTAAAGCACTGTTTAGTGGGCCATCTTTATTTGGAAGAAGTAAAATCAAGCATTTGTTCAGCAACAGTGAGGCTAGATTCTGTGTGTGCCTCTTTGCTTTTACCTGAGTCACCCAGCACAGGGTGCCTCCCTAACACATATACAGACGTACTTCTGTGCGTCCAATTACAAAGGAATGTGTGGGGATCCCTGGGTGGCGCAGCGGTTTGGCGCCTGCCTTTGGCCCAGGGCGCCATCCTAGAGACCCAGGATCGAATCCCACATCGGGCTCCCGGTGCATGGAGCCTGCTTCTCCCTCTGCCTATGTCTCTGCGCCTCTCTCTCTCTCTCTCTCTGTGACTATCATAAATAAATAAAAAATTAAAAAAAAAAAGAACCACAGCTTCTGTGGCTTCCTTCTAAAACAAAAAACAACAACAAAGGAATGTGTGTTCATAACAGAAAGAGAATGGAATATAAATGAACATAAAGAATGCATTTTAAATCACTCTTGACCCCCCCCCCACCCATGCAGAGACAACTGTTCTTTAATATATGAAGCTGTCTCCAAAACCAATGTTTTGTTCTTTTCTGTAGAAAAGCACTTTATTTCAGGTTAAGTAAAGGATCAACTCAAGTATGAATTTACTTCATCAATCAGTTTATTACACTTATTTTTAATACGGAAAAGTACAAAAAGAAAGCCTGGCCGACGATGTCCACTCTGCAATACTTCCAGTTAACACTTTTTTAAAAAAGTAATGCAAGCAATGTTTTTATAAAGAAGGAGAGCAGGAGGAGAAGGAGGAGGAGGAAGAAGAGAAGGAAGGAAGGATAAAAAGAGATAAAGAGAAAAGTAAAAGTATTCTCTTCATTCCCGAACCCCAAAGGTAGCCACAGTCAGCCTCTGCTGCCTCTCTAAAAAAAAAAAAAAGAAAAGAAAAAAAAAGTGTATGCATCATCAGCATATACACCCAAGTGAAGTCAACATAAGTCAGCACACAAACATACCTCTCTGCCCCTTCTTTTACTCCATAATATCATTTTTCCCAAACAGCACATAGAGATCTGTCTCATTCTTTAAAAAAAAAAAAAAATTTGGGATCTCTGGGTGGCGCAGCAGTTTGGTGCCTGCCTTTGGCCCAGGGCGTGATCCTGGAGACCCGGGCTCCCGGTGCATGGAGCCTGCTTCTCCCTCTGCCTGTGTCTCTGCCTCTCTCTCTCTCTCTCTCTCTCTCTCTCTCTCTCTCTCTCTCTCCGACTATCATAAATAAATAAAAATTTAAAAAATTTTTTTTAAAAATAAATAAAAATAAAAAAAGAAATTTATCTCTACACTCAATATGGGGCTTAAACTCACAACCCTGAGATCAAGAGTTGCATGCTCCACGGACTGAGCCAGCCAGGCAAGCCTACCTCATTCTTTTATGGGTTCCATAGTCTTGCATTGCATGGATATTCTACAGCTTATTTAAGCAGTCCCAATGGCTGAATTATTTGTTCTTATACATATCACCTTGAACATCCTTGTACACATATCTTGGTAAAATTTTGTAAGTAAAACCATAGAACTGCTAAGTCAGAGGAAT